CCTTGAGAAGTCATCTATAAATTTCACCATGTAGCACATCCCTCGATTTGATGGTTACTTGATAGGTCTAAACACATCAGAGTGTATCATCCCAGTGGTTTCTTTACTCTGTAACTTGACTCCTGATATGGTAGTTGATGTTCATTATCGTAGTGACAGCCAGCACATACTATGTCATCTTTGATTTCGAATTGAGGGAGACTCTTGAGCATCGACTTCTTCATAATTACCTTCAGCTTCTAATAACTCACATGTCCTAGTCTTGCATGTCATAAATCTGATGTCTCATTCTTTTGTGTTTTATCTACATATGCAAACTCTGCTGATATTACGTAGACTGACTCTAATCTCCGTTCCTCCATTATTGGTGTACCTGAAATTTTGATATACCTTGATATCTTTCAATTCAAATAGAATATAGTTACCTAATGACATCAACTGCACCATTGATAGGAGATTTTTCTTCATGCCTAGCACATGATAGACGTCTTGTAACTACATATGACTAGGACTAAAGTGAGGCGTGGTAACAGTCTTACCAATGTGAGCTATTGGTAATCTTGAATTGTTGGCAGTTATTGCCATTCGACTTTTTTTGTACTCTGTTGTATTTATCTGTCATGTCAGAATTGACAATTCAATCATTTTCATAATTTATTTGTCTAGGAAGTATCAACGCTAGTGCCGATTCTTCTTCAGAGGCTTGACTGCATTCCTTCCCTTGAGTTTGTTCTGCGAATGATGCTATAGCATCCCACTCTTCTTCACCATTATATTTTTCTTGTTCATTAGAGGCAATATTACCTTTTATTGGTCTTTTCTTGAATCGATGATCTCTGTCATAATTGCCTCATTTTCCTCGTACAAGGCACGAATGATTATTTCGTTGAAATTTCTTGGACGGCTGACTTCTCTTGTCACAACTTTGTTTGGCTCCCCTTATCGCAGAACTTACTTCATGTTTACTTTTCTTTTAATTCTTTATTATTTTGTTGATGGGGTCGACCTCTTGTTTTATAACTATAAAGTGTTTCTTCCTCTTCTTTCTTTATTGAGACCCCTAATATTTGCCTAATTAAAGCTTCTTGATCGGCCAACAAAATTTCAAGATTAACTAATGAAGGTTGCTCTAACCAATCTTGTATTGCGACAATGAAACTTCGAAATTTGGGTCTCTATTCATGTATAATTCTTCTCATTCGAGACCCTGAAATCTTACTTAAAGCATATAACTTTGAAATTTCACGA